TACATTTGTAGGGCTTCTCTCCAGTGTGAGTTCTTCTGTGGCCAATAGGTGTGATTTTTTACTGTAAGATTTTCCACATTCTTTACATTTGTAGGGCTTCTCTCCAGTGTGTGTTCTGCTGTGGCGAATAAGGTGTGATTTTTTACTGAAAGGTTTACCACATTCTTTACATTTGTAGGGCTTTTCTCCAGCGTGAGTTCTCCTGTGGCAAGCAAGGCCTGCTTTTTGACTGAAAGCTTTTCCACACTCTTTACATTTGTAGGGCATCTCTCTAATGTGGGTTCTTCTGTGGCAAATAAGACCTATTTTTTTACTAAAAGCTTTGCCACATTGTTTATATTTGTAGGACTTCTCTCCAGTATAAATTCTCCGGTAGTGAACAAGGTTTGAATTTTTATATGATTTCTGGTGTTCACTCTCACTTGTAGTTTTCCATATTTTCTCTTGTTGTAAACAGTCAAGATTACAACATCTATATTTTCCACTTATCACATTGTGAAATATATGTTTTATGCCCTTTTCTGTTGAATATTCTTGAGTATCTTGAGGAGTCATGGCAAGGAAGGCAAAGTTTCTATAGTTCTCTAACATGACATCTTTATATAAGTTTTTCTGAGCAGGCTGAAGGCATTCCCACTCCTCTTCAGTAAAATCAATGGCTATATCCCTGAATGTTAACAGTAACTCTAAAAGCTCTAAGAGAAGATTTTATTTTTTTGTATTTTCTCATATCTAATGGCTTCTGGCATTCCTTTGTTTGTGACCATAAATGCTTCTCTTCTGTGTTGATGGGGCATTTCCTGGCTTTCAGGGTTCTCAGGTTCTCCCTGTGGTTTGTTTTCAGATTCTGCATAGCACAGACACCTGGGCTCCGGATGCAGGACAGAAGCCTTTCACCAAGCGCGGCTTCGCCTACTTCTGCCTGGACATACCCGGGACTCTGGGCGCTCCGTCGCCCTCCGCGGCTGGCTCCCCCGGCAACACCGGCCGCTCGGGGTAGCCCTTCTCCCCTTTCACCATCTGCCTCTTGGAAAGTTTTTTTTTTTTTTTTTTTTTGCAGCTGGGTCAGCGGCTGGGGGGAGCGGACCACAGATCCGGGGCGCCTCCCTGGCAGGGGCAGCCTCACTGGCAAAGGCCAGTTGGGGGCGGGGGGAGGCCCAGGGAGCACGCTGGGGCTCTGCCTGTTGCAATGCGGCAGCCTGGGGCTCCCGGTCCCACTGGCAGTTGCGGGGAGTCCAGAGGCCACTGGGCAAAGCCGCCCCTCCTCTTCCCCCCTCCCTGCCGGCCCCAGCCTGTGTGGCCCCTCCCTCCCCCACCCCACTGCCACCCTCCCCCTCCTCCTCCTTCTCCTCCTGCTCCGCCCCTTGCCGGATTTTGCAGCCCTTTGTGGAGCTCACAATAAACCCCCATTTAACCTTTATTACCTCCCTATAGACCCTAATTCCAAATACAGTCACGTTGAGGGATAGTGCTTCAACATGAGTTTTGGGAGATACAATATTGTCCCTAATAATCTGTGTGGGAGAAACCATGGCGTAAACTCTAGAGGGGCCATGTGGTGATGTGGGAGGGTAAGATGAGTGGGTATAAAAATATATACCGGAGTCCACGTAGGACGTCCGTGCTGGAGAGGGAAAGATTCCACTTCTTCTCAGCTTCAAGTTGAGAATGGGGCTACCCCAAAGGGAAGATGTTTGGGAGTCTTCTGCTATAGCTATATAGCTGTCGTTATCTCCACAACATTACTTCCAGTCAGTGGAGATTCTGAAATGAAGATCTATCAGGGCCTCAAGTACTACACAGAATCCAGAATTGGGGATTGGAAAGGGGCAGCTCCCAAACCTTGCACTGTCTGGCGCTGTGACGTGAATTAGAGAGTTGTCCTGGGAGTTGGGAGATCCGGGGTCTCTTCTTTTTGCTGCTGCTAACCAGATGTGAGACCTTGGCAGTTCCTGAGCCACCTAAGTTCTGCCATCTGGTGATGGTGGCATGTATTACAAGCCCCACAGTTTAACCATAACCGGATCCAGGTCCTTTGGCTTCCAGTCTGTTAGCTGGGCTGACCATCATAGAAACGTGAGGCGCAGGAGAACCAATGGTGAGGAGTGAATGCTTTTCATTTCCTCTTGAGGAGGGTGGAACACTTCCCAGTACGGGGACCCCTGCAAGTCCCTGCGTCTGAAGGCAGGGGTGTGGGGCTTGCTGATAGGAGACTGGGGCTGGGGAGCAGGTGCCTCCTCTGGTTCTGCTCCCATCACAGCGGGTGACTGGATACAGTAGAGAGCAACCCTGTGGAGCAGAGGTTGTTTTGTCACAGTCTTTGATTTTGTGACTGAGACAGAAAGAGAACACACTTGATTTTTCAATAAAGAAAATAGACAGTATTTACCTTTTTTTCTAATGAGATTTTTCCTGTGATTCTATGAAATTCAATATGATTGTAAAGGGTCTGCGGGTGCTGGGTTGCAGGCCTGAGTTCGGAGAGCTTCAGTGGGAGATCCGAGGAGTTGGCCTCCCTGGAGAGGGAAGCACAGGTCCTGCTGGTGAGGTCCTGGCCCTGCTAAACACGGCTCCTGTCTTTTCCCCCAGAGTGAGTCTCACCAGTTCAGCCCAATGGCCTTGCTGCATGGGAATGGCAGCTGTGCCCTGGGCCTCTTGCAGGGTGTTGTGCTCCCTCCGGTCCTCTTGCTTCTCCCTGCAGCAACCTCCAACATACTTCCAGCCCCCACAGAAGCACCAGGAGCCACAGTTATTGGCCATGCACTTGTTCAACCCCATTCCAGGCCCTGCACCGCGACGCCGTGAGATACAGAGAGATAAAGTGTGGGCTCTGCTGTCTCAAAGCTGCAACCTGGAGACTCCTTTTACTGTCCGTCCCCATTCTGCCTTCTCAAGGCACTGTGTACCCCCACCCCCACCCCATGCACCTATAGGATTGAAAATGTCTGAATGACCAGTGTCCTCAGTGGGCTCCTAAGGCTGGCCCTGCCTTGTGTGGAGAAGGGCATTGGGCCCTTTCCATTCACTAGCTATTTTGTAATCTGGTGGTGGTTTCTGATTGCTAAAGGTGGGTGTGATAATTACAATGGCCAAGGTGTTATTTGTAAGAAGATTGGAGAATTGTGGAAGAAGAATGAGCTGTAGTGATCCTTCTCACTCTTGGGGGACAAGCAAATCCAAGAGAATGTGGCTAGTTACTGAGGGACAGCGGGGTGCTGCATGGAGTGGTTTGGAAAGAGGAAGCAATGGGAACAGCTCTGTTCTATTAACTGACTTCCTGTGCAGTGCTTCTGTCGAACGTGGCCTTAGAACCAAAGGGCAGAGGGATACAACAAGCTTTACCAGCCATTGGACTTGAAGCGTTTTTCATCCTGAGCACAGCATACACTCTTCTCTAGCCTAGACAGTATGTTATAAAAGCAAATTTTCTTCAGACTGACAATTTTCATTTTGTATCTTCATTCATTCATTCATTCATTTTGCAGCACTAGGAATTGAACACAGGGTCTTACACATGCTAGGCAAGCACTCTACCACTGAGCTATATTGCCAGCCCCTTTCTCAATTTTATTTTGAGATGGACTTGCAAAATTGCCAAAGCTGACCTCAAATTTAAATGTAAATTTAACTAATTTATTTTTACTGTCTGTTCAGTAAAGTCAACCTCAGTTTTATAGCTCCACAAATATTTAAGGAAAACCCTGAACTCATTGTACTTACTTTTTCTGTTGTGCACTTGCCAAGGAAAGGAGAAAGTATCAGAAATCTTATCACCAACCACAAATTGCAATCTATCCCAAAGTCAGGATGTAATTCTCCACATAAATCACCAGCCTCCTTAGAAGTCTCACCTGACTTATAAAATCTCTTTTGCACCATATAAATAAGAGCAGTTACCAGGCACCATCTGGTTTATTAACCATCACTCAGCTACTCCCAGAAGCGCAAATGAATTGCTTGTTACGTTTTAATATCATCACCTTGACCCTAATATAGAATTACCTGATTCCTAAATCAAGAACCCACAAAATTTTCATTAATAGCCCGTGGTTGTTACACGGAAATGTAAGCGTCCAAAGCAATTTTCCTAATTCATACAACTGTTTAACCATTATAGTAATTTTTAACAGGCGTAAGTCAGCCTGTGAGGAGGGTTATTCACGAAAGGAACTTCCCCTGCGCTCTGGGCGATAGCCCCAGCCGAGGGATCACATTAGCCGGCCACGTGTCTGGAGGCCTGTGGACCTTCCAACAGTGGGACAATATACCTGTGTAAAGGTGCTACAATCTTGCTTCTCAACGAGGTTCTGTCACCTTGCACACCATCGCTCCTGACTCAGAAGGCATTGTCAGAGATCAGATGGACAGCAGTTAGTTTAAAGATCTTAACTGGCTTTGTCTTTTTATTCTCGAGAAGGCAGCTCTTCATTCCGTAAAGCAGGACGAGTGTCCCCGTGAGCTGAGCAGAAGAGATGGGTCTGTAGGTGGGAAAGGACTGAAGAAAGAAGAGACGAGAAGTGGGCTGGTCACTGAGAAGTCACTTTGCTCATCAGACAGGGACAGGGAAACAGAAGTAGGACACAGCTGACTGGGGACACGGGGGTTACCCCAGGTTGCTGTTTTGTGTAAGGATCAAGGCAGAGAGAATTCCATCCTCTTGCCAATCAAAACTGGCCTGTGTGGGATACCTGGCTGTTGTCTTTTTAATCCTGATTTCTCAGAAAGTCAGATAAACAGCTTGGTTTCAGCTTGGTGACTGGAACTTCAGCACAAGTGACTCATTTTGATCTTTAGCCTGATCTGTTGGGGCCTAGTGCAGGAGCTTCTTCTGATACTACGGCCTCCTGAAGTTTTTATGTAACAGTGTGAACAACTTCTCAGAGGGAATTTTCATGCTGTCAAAAATACTTTCAATGAGGCTGTGGATGTAGCTCAGTGTGAGAGCAGTTGCCTAGTGTGCATGAGGCCCTGGGTTCCTTCCCCAGCATCATACACACACCAAAAAAAGTAATCTTAAATTCTGTGTCTGAAAAAAATAGATACAGTTTCAGCCCTCCACCGGTCAGAGTAATCAGTGACTGGCACAGTGGCTCGCTTGTGCAAAAATTCAGCAGGAGCCAAAAGAGCACAAAACAAGGAGTGGATATTGTTTGGAGACAGTTTTCCACAAGTCTCAGATGTTATCAAGACACTGAAAGCCTTTGTTTCTGACTATCTTTCCAGTGGTGTCTGTGTAGTGAACACCCTTGAAACATACAGTTGTATTAGCCAGCTCCCCATCACTGTGACAAAATACCTGGTATAATCAATTTATAAAGAGAAAAGATTTTGGGGCATGGTGGCACACACCTGTAATCTCAGCTACTTGAGAGTCTGAGGCAAAAGGATGGCAAGTGCAAGACCAGCCTTGGCTACTTACCCAAGACCCTATCTCAAAATAAAAAAATAAAACAAAAAGATTGGGAATGTTGTTCAGTGGTAAAGCACCCCTGAGATCAATTCCCAGTTTAAAAAAAAAAACAGGTTTATTTCATGTGCTGTTTTGGAGTTTCCTGTCCATGATCAACTGACCCATGGCTTTTGGGCCTGTGGCACAGCATTACACTATGATGGGAGCACGTGTCGGAGCCAGACCTCTCACTCCATGTCTCGGGAATTAAGAAGAGGAAGAGACTGGGTTCCACAGTTCCCTTTGAGGGCACCCCCATGTCTTCAAGACCTCCCACTAGGTCCCCCTCTCAAAGTCTCTAGCATTCCCAGGAGCCCCAAGCTGAAGACCGAGCTTCCAACCACAGGCTTTGGGAGCTGTGTTTTGAGATCCAACTGCAGGAGAGGGAGTGTCTCTTTCCAGAGCAAAAGGTGGGTTTGTTTACTGCCCACTGAATAAAGATCACATCTCCCTCTGGGGAAGGATTAGACAGGCTTATAAAAGGTGTGGGTTCCCTGTGCTCAGGGTTCCTCGGCTGCCATGCAAACCTACTACATGCAGAGCTGGCCCTTGGATTCCTCCATGTCCCTTGGGGAGGGAGGGGGACCAACATGGACATGAAGCTCAATCCACCTGCTGTGCTATGATAACAAGATCCTTTGATCCTGATCTCAACACCTGGTAATGTCTGCAGCATCCAGGAAGCTGTAGCATCCAGGAAGCTGTAGCAAGTCAGCTGCTTAGCTCAGGGAGGGTAAAGTTGTAGCTCCTTCACAGTCCTGGATAAAAGGTCAAGTAGGCAGTTAACTTGCAAAAATGGAGTTCACAGGATTGTGGTGGGAACACCCCTAATTTGCAGATGGAGAATGTGAACCCTGGACAGGACCAGCTTATCGAGGGTTATGCCAAGGTCACAGCAGAGTTGAAAATAGAACCAAGTCTATATGTTAATAGCTAAGCAGCTTATCTGAGGTCATGGCAAGTCTGTGGCAAAGCTGAACCAGAACCAAGTCTGTGCTTATGGCTAAGCCTGGGGTGAAGCAGACTGCCCTGGGTTTGATCTTGGTTCTTCTCTTTATCACTTCTTGTGTTGTGACCCTGGTGGATAATTTGAGAATAACCCTAGAGGGCTATTCTGAGTCTTAAATCTTGTCACAATTCTCAATTTTTAAGCTTTATCAGAATTCTTGGTGCACACAAATACATGCACACACATACACACACACAAATGGGAGGCATTAACAGAGGTTGTGGCTCAGCGGTAGAGCTCTCGCCTAGATGTGGGAGGCTCTGGGTTCAATCCTCAGCACCACATAAAAATAAATAAAAAAAATAAAGGTATAAAAAAATAACTTACCAGAGCCAGACATGGTGGCACATGCCTGTAATCCCACTGACTCAGGAAGCTGAGGCAGGAGGATTACACATTCAAGGCCAGACCCAGCAACTTAGTGAGATCCTGTCTCAAAATAAAAAATAAAAAGAATTGAAGATATAACTCAGTGTCAAAGAGTCCCTGGGTTCAATCTCCAATACCTACCCCTCAAAAAAAAAAAAAAGATAATTAGCTACTTGATTAGTGCATTCGTGCCTCCTATTGATTGGCTCTGGTGTCAGGAGTTCATTAAAACAGAGTTGTCCTATGAGAACCTGAGCCCAACAGTGAACACAGCAGAAACCCAGCCCCAGGGAGGTTTCTTCTCTGCTGAGCCTCTGCCTCTGCACCTGCGATCAATCTATAGCCCTGCAGAAGACAAAAACCAAACCAAAATTGATTTATTGACTCAGCACAGGGACAGGGACATTCCACAGGGACCACAGGCTGCTGCTTGATGTGAGGGTAAGATGTGTCTTGCCACTGCTGGGCTCCTGCTGGGTTGGCGGCCAGCCTAGGGAAACAGAGGTCAGATCTGAGTTGGCTGCTGTGTCTGATGCAGATTTGTACAAGTAGGGGCTACTCAGGAGGGAGGTATCGCAAGACAGGGTGCCTTAGTCACCGGGTACCCCCAGGAACAGATGGGGACAGCAAAGCAGGCCCACAGGCGTCACTGGTGAGAGCAGCAGCTGCTCAGAGAGGTCCTTGTGGAATTCCAAGCACAACTGTAGGCAGTCAGTGTTTTAGCTTTCTGGTTCCCAGTCATGTCCATGTTTTAATGTTGACAGATTTACTCTTTCAGGATGTTCTCTATCGGAATGCGACATGTTTGTATGTGCAACTGTGGAAACTGCCAAAGGTCCAGAGTCCATCATGGATCACATTGGCTTGTTGTTTATTCTTAAATTTTAACTGTTTAGGCCAGGCACGGTGGCGCACATCTGTAATCCCAGCTCCTCCAAAGGCTGAGGCAGGAGGGTTGTAAATTCAAGGCCAACCTCAGCAACTTAGCAAGATCCTGTTGCAAAATAAAAACAGAAATAAAAAAGGTCTGGAAATATAGCTCAGTGGTAAAGTGCCCCTGGGTTCAATCCCCAGTACTATTACAAAATTTTTTGATTGCTTATGAGTGTTGAAATTATGGTCAAATAAAAGCCCTTAATTGGCTTTTGGTGAAAACGCTGCAGAAGCTACACTTAGAAGTTGCTGATGAACTTCTAAGAACTGCCAATTGGTGTGTGGCTAGGCAGAAAGAGAGAAGTATTTCTGCCTCCTATTTTGGAAAGTCTGAGCCAAGTGCTAGGGTGAGCAAGTTCCCAGGACTCTAATTTGAGGTAGAGAACTTGGAGAATCCACACAGGGAGGCCCTCCAGAAGTCTTGTTTCCTTGGGCTTTTCTAGAAGCAAAACTTGGCTTGAGGCCCAGACTTTGGAGGGAGGACCTAGGACCATGTGGCACATAAGGGCATGCTCTCTGGCCAGGCTGAGCTCTGGAAGGTTGCAGCTCAAGCCAGCCTGGCACCTTCTCTGGTGTTGAGGATTGTATAATCTCCACTTACCAGGTACGTGGTAAATTTGGCTCTTATGGAAGGCTGTGCAGGCCCTCAAATTCAGGGAACAGAAAAAACTGGCGTTTGTGTTTCTTCCTCCTCCTCTTTTTATGATTTTCTTTCTTTCCATTTTATGATTTTCTTTCTTTTCTGCTTTTCTTTGTTGGGGATCAAACCAGGACCTTGCTCATGCTAGGCAAGTGCTTTACCACTGAGTTATAAACTGAGTCCTGCATTTATCTTTAAAACCCTTTAGAAATTGAAAAACAGAAATTCTGGTTTTTATATCTGACCATGTATTTACCTTTATCAGAGATCTTCAAGTTACTGTCTAGCATACTTTCATTTCAAACTGGAGGACTCCCTTCAACACTTACTATAGGGCAAGTCTAGTAATAAAATCCGATTTTAAAATGTGGAAATGTCTTAATTTCTCCTTCATTTTTTGAAAAGTTTTTTCTGGCAATATAATTCTCAGATGACAATTTGAATATGATGTGTCTCAGTGTGGATCTCCTTCCTTCTTAAAGTTTACTAGGCTTCTTGGATGTATAGATTTATGTCTCTCATCAGATTTGGAGAGTTTTCAGCTATTATTTGTTCATAGAAAATCTGTTCCTTTCTCTATTATCCTTCTTAGATTTCCAAAATGACCATATTGGTCTGCTGAATGGTGTTCCATAATTTTGTTATGGGGAGATGCCTCAGAAAGCACTCTAAGTCCAAATTTCAAATCAAAAGAGAGCTTTATTTGCCTGGCCAGGGATCATCACCCATTGCAGAGACTGAAGCTCTGTGGGAGGACAGCTGCTTCCTGGTCTATCCAAAGAGAATGTAAGGACAAAAACCACAGCTCAGTCATTTGCTTATCGTCATGTAAGCTAGCCAATCATAGAAATTAAAACATTAATAAGTGGTGAAAGGCGAGTGACTCACCAGAGATGGAGATTCAACCAAGAGATTTTATTGGGGGGCTGCCCAAAGGGGAAGAAAAGGAGAGGCAGAGAGCAAAGAGAGGAGAGAAAGAGGGCAGAGAGAAAGAGAGCAGAGAGAGGAGAGAAAGAAAAGGAGGAGGGCAGAAAGTGTGAGCTTGCAAACTTTGGCTTAAGAAGGGCTGCATAGGTGATGTGGCAGGTGCTGATTGACAGGGTGACTAAGGAATGGCAAGAGGACACTGTGTCCTATGGCAATTGGTAGAGAAAACTTTTGAATTTGGCGCCCTTTGGAGAGGAGAGGGAGAGGTAAGGGATTACTTGATATTCTTGGGGAGAGGGAAACTCAACTTCAGTGAGGAGACTCCCACACACCCAACAAGTGGGACTTGTGGGCTCTAGGCAGGACTGGAATTTTCCAGTCAGCAAGCAAGCGGTAAACAGAAGCAAAAAAAAAAAGCATTAGCTTTGCAGTTCAGTTGACCACAGTCCTGGGTTCAAGCAGGTGCTATACTGTTGTATCCTGAATTTGGGCAGGGGGTCGCCGGGTGAGAATCTACTTCAAAGTCATGTAGACCCACAAAGGCATTCACACCCAGGATGCAGCTCACCATGACCACTGCTGCATCCTGAGTAGGGTACAATTTATGGGGTACAAAGTACAGAAAGACAATTTTTATAAGAAAACAGCTTTCATTTCAGTTTCTCAGAAATAGCTCTTGTAACAGTTTTCTATAGAAGGCAGAAAAATGGAGTCTTAGGCCTGTCTATGACAGTTTTTGCTTCATAATTATCTTATCTCACTTATCAAAATCTTATATCTATAATCTATATTTTTTACTAATCTATAACCTATAATTTACACTCTTATTGATTGTATTTATCAATTCACACCACAACAATTTAGCCTCACTGAAGAAGCACAAACATTGGAATTCCTGGACAAAGGCTTTAAAACAATTGTTTTTCTTTAGTATTTTGTTTGTTTGTTTGTTTGTTTCTCTGACTTAAAAATAACCTGTCTCCATGTCTACATTTTCAACTCTGCTGTTGAACCCTCTCTACTTTACAAATTATTGTGTTTTTCGGCTCCAAAATTTATGTTTGGTTCTTTTAAAAAAAATAATTTTGATCTGTTGATATTCCTATTTCTTTTGTATGTCTTCCTAGTTTCCTTTAGTCATTGTACATGTTCTTCTTTAACCTCTTTGAGCACATTTGAGACAATTGGTTTAAAGCCTTTGTCTAGTAATTCCAATGTCTGTACTTCTTCAGTGATGGGTTTTGGAGATTTATTTTACAGCTTTGAGTGAGACATGGTTTTGTGTTTCTTTGTATGCTTTTTGTGTTTTTGTTGTTGTTGTTGTTTGTTTATTGTTGTTGAAAACCTGGCATTTGGAAAAAACCAGTTTTTGCAGCCTGATCTGTGCTGGGAAGGACCTTCACTAATTATTAGCACAGCAAGTTCTGAGACTCGAGATCAGCCCAGGATTTCTTAGGTCTTTGGGAGCATGTTTCCTGTCTGGGCCTGTGTGTTCACTTATTTACCCCTCCCACCCCCAACACACATACAACACACAGCTGCTGGGACATGCCCTGATTTTCCGGTCTGAGCCCAGCTTCTTCTCAGGGTCTTGGATGTTCCTTTGTATTTCTCTACCCATAATGCCATGTGCCAGGTGTTGGAGGCCCACAGTTCCCTGCAGCTTTCACAGGCAATGGTGCCTGCCACCCTTTTCCCAGACTACAATCTGAGCCATGCTGCCTTTGAAGATTTAAGGACACTAATATAAAACTATCTTATTATTATTTAGTTTTGAAATTTTTAATTTAGGCAAGGATAGCTGGGAAGGCTGTGAATGGGACAGAGAAATTTTGAGAGTCCTGTGCTGTGAGAAGCCCAAGTCAGGATTGGCACCATGTGGTGATTCTCAAGCAAAGGGCTACCAGAAGGCTGGGTGCCAAAGAGACCCCAGGATGCTGGGATTAAGAGACTGTTGGCTCTGTTGCTCCCTGAGAAGTTCCCACTGGGATATGAGTTAGAGTCCTGTCTCTTGACTAGTTATGCAACGCTGGCCTGTCCATTCTTGATTCTGTAACTGCATGACTTGGGGTATTGGTTTATGGCAGTTGTGTCCAGTACCCATGTCCCTATGACTTCCTCCATCTGTAAAAGACAGGAGCTCAACAGCCTTTCACCCCAGCAAAGTTGGCTGCTGAGGAAAAGCAGCCGGGGTGGGCAGTGGCCATCCTCATTCCAGGAATGATGGATACATCATCCCCCCCCTGGCAGGGGGAGAAGGTGGCATCATTGGCTCTATCCAACAACCAACTGGATTCTGTCATCAGCCTAGAGATGGATGGGGTAAGTGTGTGAGAGCAACAGTCCTGAAGAACAAAGTCCTCCTGATACACAATGGAACTTCCTTGGGAAATGTGGGTTAACGCACAAAAAGACACAAGCTATTTTAAACTAATATTTGCTTTTTAATTGAAGATGATGGTTATTTGTGACATTAATGCTTCTGGATCACAGTAAATAAATGAAATTCATATATACCTGTTGGAAGATATTAGAAAGACTTATGATGAATGATCAAAAGAGATGTCAAATTATTACAAGGAAACACTAAAGAGGCTACTACAGGTCTAAAATTAATATATAACATTATTTGCATCATCTTAGCCTTTGAAAAACTTGCCTTCTTGTTTTTATTTTTCTAATTCTGATAAAAATAAGAAAAGCAGGGGCTGGGGTTGTGGCTCAGCAGTAGAGCGCTCGCCTAGCACGTGTGAGGTCCAGCGTTCGATCCTCAGCACCACATAAAGATAAATAAATAAATAAAAGTTATTGTGTCCAACTACAACTGAAAAATAACTATTTTTTTAAAATGTGAGAAAGGTGCTGAGATGGAGACATTAGCCCCAGAGGGGACTCTCATCTCTGGCATTTGTGTCTTTCCCCTTGTGTCACTAACTTCTACATCAACAACACGTAATACGATGAATATTGTGCCTTCTAAAATGTGAGAATAGCCTCTAACATATACCCTGCGTCAGGAAAGACCCTGGGAGCAGTGGATCCAGAAGGACAAGACCAACATCTGCCTAATAAAGCTCACTCCCGTCTCTCACTGTCCTTTTTTGCTTTTTTATGGGCAATAATGCCAGCGAGTGCCCTCAGGCTTGCAAATAACTGCTGATCCTGCTATAAAAATAACTGTTCTTTGTTCCATGAGCTCACAAAGCTAAACCTGACTTAATGGGTTCCGGAGGAGAAGGGATCCAAAACTTACTTCTCATTTGAGTTTCAGTGAAACATCACACGGCAGAATCTTTACTGGCTCTCTGTCTATCCTTCTCCACTGCCATCCCCAACCACTGCTCCCTGTTCACACTTAAAGGTTTGCTGAAGGCACAGCCACTTTGGTGCCATCCAGCCTTCCCCCATCCCAGGTATTTGTCCCAGAGTTAACACCTGCCCCAAGCCCAGCCAGTCAAAGTCGCCAACACATTCCCCTTACAGATGAGGTGACTTAGGTCCGAGATGGAAGAAGCCTGGGAGCTGAGGGTGTCCACGCCCTGCCACGTAGTCTGGAAGCAGAAAAGTCTGGTCTGCAATGAGAGATGGCAGTGGAGAGATGGTGAGAGAGGCCTGGAGGGCAGAGAAAGAGCGAGTCTTGCAGCATCAGGTGGTTTGTTTTTGATTTATTTCTGAAATTAGACATCTTTGTTTTCCTGTTTGAATAAGCCAACTTAAACAACAATACAATAAAGACAAAGACAAGATGGATATATTTCAAAGAAAGCACTTTGCTGTTTGCTACAATCTGAAGAGAAAACAGAAAGCAGAAGCATTTGTTCCAAATCAATGTTAATATATCGATGAGTCATTAGTATTTTGGAACCAAGTACTTTCTGTGCCTTCTTCACTAATGTCTTTCTTAGAAGAAAGATAATAACCAGTACAAGGCATAATAATTGAGGTAGTTTTGCACAAAAGTAAAGGAACAGCACCTGGAGCCAGACTCTCTGGTATGAATCCCAAGTCTACCACTTTCTGGATGCGACCTGGGCAGGAGACCCAACTTCTCCAAGAACTTTGAGGGTTGCCAGAAGAACTAGTTGTTGGTGCACATAAAGCACTAACAACACTGCCTGGCATGCACAAAATACTGAATGAATGACAACTACAAGTGGGTCCCTATTGACGAGGTGCCTGGAGTTGGAGGGGCCGGGTGTACCAGGTGGGGGAGTCTCACTGACCAGAACTCCAGGAGGGCTCTCCTTGGACCAGAACTAGCAATTTGTGAATACCTTGAAATCAGCTTTCTGCCCCCTGGTCCTCCCTTATATTTCAGGAGGCTATTTTTATCACCAAGCATTGCAGAGCGTTCATACTTAATGGGAATAATCTGTATTACATTAAGATACTTCACCTTCTGCACAGTTTTCAAAAAAAGACTAAAAATTGTTTTTAAAATATTTTAGGTTTTTTTTTTTAAATTAAATAATTAGGTATGGTGGTATGTGCCTATAATCCCAGGTACTCAAGAGGCTGAGGTAGGAAGTTTGAGGCTAGCCTAGGCAACTTAGTAAGTCCCCTGCCTCAAAATAAAATAAAGACCCTACATTCCAGGCTCACCCATGTGTGGCAAATGGCAATGACGCATTCTTATTTAGGACTGGATGTATTCCTCCATGTATATGTACCATGGTTTCTCTATCCATTCATCTGTCAACAGACACAGAAATTCCTCTCCTGGACAGAGACCCAAAGGAGATGGAATCACCCCCTCATTCAGTTTCTTGCCCTGCAGAGTTCACCACAGCATTATTTTGGTGACCTTTTTGGAGGAAGCGGTAACATCCTTTGTTAATGAAAGCCCACTTTCCCTCTTGCTGCCTTTTCCAGAGTCATATTTAAACCATCTAAAAGAAATCTTCGGGATATTGCAGAAACAGGATTCTCATTTTACTTAGCAATAAGTCTTTTAAAATCATAGATGTGTTTTTCTGAAACAGGAAGGAGAAAGACTGTAAAGACAAGGTGCTTTCTGCTAATAAAGGGAGTTTTGGTCATGCAGACACTGGTGAAGTTAGAGAGCAAGGCTTTAAGGTCATCGATGGTGAGGTGATCATCACATTGATGGTGTAGATATTAGAGCTTAGGTAACTACGTCAAATTTCTACAACAAACAAATTTTAAATCATATCTCCCTATAATAAATACAGTATCTGTTATGGTTTATGTAGGAAGTATCCCCCGTAAGCTCATGTGTGAGAAAATGCAAGAAAGCTTAGAGATGAAATGAACTTGATCAGCATTGATCCCCTGATAAGGGTTAACTGGGTGGTAACCGTAGGCTGGTGGCATGTGGCTAAAGGAACTGGGAGTGTGCTGTCAGGGTTTATACTTTGTCATGGTGAGGACAGCTCTGTCTCTCTGCTTCCTGGTGCAATGTTCTGAGCCGCTTCCCTCCACCACGCTCACATGCCATGATGTTTTTCTTCACCTGCAGCCTCGAGGAATGGAGCGGGTGTTGTGATGGGCAAAAGTGCAACATCAGCATTCAAGGGGAGAGATAAAGAATGTCCATGCATTTCTGCCCTTTTCAATGTTTTATTCACTCAAATCACTTAATACAGGGATGGGTTGTGGCTCAGTGGTAAAGTGCTCACCTAGCACATGCAAGGCCCTGAGTTCAATCCTCAGCACCACATAAGAAAAAATAAATAAAATAAAGGTATTGTGTCCACTACAACTAAAAAATAAATATTTTAAAGAATCACTTTATACAATTTCACTCTACAGGTTCTTAATCAAGGAATGATAATTCTTAATGCTGGGCACTGCAATAGACACAATCAATTTAAAGCAAACAATTCTAAGTTAACTCTAAGCACTGCAAACACACTTAATCATGACAGGCCTATTAAGGACATTGCCTCTGTGTGCTAAGCTTAAGTGCTAGATTTCAAAGTCTTAAGTCTTAGATCTTAAGTCCACTCACTCAGACCACGGTGATCAAGTCAGGAACCCATAGAGGCTTCTCCTGGGGTGGAGCTGATAGTTGGCTAGGGAGATGGTTGTCAGGAGAAGTGCTTTTCTCACCAGAGTCAATAGACTGCTGTAGAGTTTGAGGGCTGTGAGGACAATGCAGAGGATCAGGCAGAGGAGAAGAGTTGGAATGTCAGTCAAGGTCCTCATCAGGCTCTCAGGCTTGTGTGCATCAGTGTGGGTTGGTTGAAAGTCTGTTCATTTGCTCCAACATTTATAGTAAATTTTGGGAGCTTTCTGCTCACCCTTGGGTCCCTATCAGCTGTTACCAGGTTTCTTAGTGACATTTTTCATTCTCAGAGATAACATATGGTCTGGATTTCTGCCCTGATATCACACTTCTGACTCTTATCAGGGTTATAATAAATGACATGTGACTTCACCCTAAATCTTACCAAGATTGTGGAAAGCGACTTGCTTTTATCAGGCTATGCCTGATGACGTATCTGAGGGCTCGGTGGCTTGCCTGGTGAGACTTCAGGTTTATTTTAAGATGGAGTTTTAAAATGGAGTTGCTTAGACTAAGGCCTAAGGCCATCCTTATAGCAGGCTATCTATGGACTGAGACCTCTGAAACTGTGAGTCCCCAGATAAACCTTTCCTCCTCTAAAATTGTTCTTGTCAAGTCTTTTGATCACAGCAGCGAAAAAGCTGACTAAAACAGTCTCTTAAAACAAACTTGTAACCTTAGGCCAAGTTACGGGTTAAATTCTATAGGACAGGGCAAAACATTTTGGCACTCAAAAAACCAGATTCTTAAAAGACCATGTTTTACCTTTCATAAAAACAAAAACTTGGGCTGGGATTGTGGCTCAATTGTAGAGCCCTTGACTAGCACGTGTGAGACCCTGGGTTTGATCCTCAGCACCACATGAAAATAAATAAATAAAATAAAGGTATTGTGTCCAACTACAACTAAAAAATAAATAATAAAAAAAAACCTCAGGGGCTGTGGTTGTAGCTCAGTGGTAGAATGCTTGCCTTGCATGTGTGAGGCACTGGGTTCGATCCTCAGCACCACATAAGCATAAATAAGCAAAATAAAAGTATTGTGTCCATCTACAACTAAGAAAAATATTTTTTATAAAAACCTCAACTTTGTGGTGCTAAGACTCAGAATGCTTTCTGAAGTTTACCCATTTGGCAAATGTCCTTTTCTCTTGGTGTTGTCATGGTAACTCATAAGTAAATATTTTCTAGCATCTCTCTTTTCTCTGTCTGTGGGTGATGGAAAGTTCAGTGTTGCATTTTTAGTTTTTTTTAAATTTTCATTTGGTACAGGGGATTGAACCCAGGGGCTGCTG